GTTTGTGTATATGATCTCAATGAATGTTTATAGAGCTCTTTCTACTCTCAAAAGCCTTTTGTAATGTCTACAAATGAAGTCCCAAACATTTTAAAGTTGTTAAGAATGCATATATAGTGTTTTCATTGAAAACTAGTCGTTTATAACCGTTATATATATTCTAGAAAGTAAGGATTTAAATCCTTTTCGTAAAGGATTCGAATCCTTGTTTCGGGGAACAAGGGATTCGAATTCTCCCTTGACAGCAAGTGGAAAATGGTCAAAAATAATTTTTTTTGCATTCTGTTTCACTCTCAAATGGTTCCTAACATTATAGGAACATATAATTGGCTCTTGGAAAGATGCTTATAAGATTAAAACATGGTATAAACATGTTGAAATAATTTTCCAAACCTTGTCGGCTCTTATGCATGAATTTCACAAATGGAAAGTAATATGATTTAAAAAATCGTTTCATTCACATTCTTGGCTCTTGTAAAGAGGACTCTCACATTTAGCATACATAGCTTATTTTCCTTTGTTTGAAAAGCATGCAAGATTATTTGTATAAGAGTCATGCAATTTTGCGAGATTATGCAATATTGAGATCATGCAATATAATTCATCATATACCCTTACGATCATATCTAAGTTCTAAAAGTGTATTCTAATAGGGAATTGGACTTAGCTTGTTGCTTTCAATCTTGGATTTTAATTCTTCACTTGAGCTTGATGCTTTAACTTGTTGGATATGACAATGCTTGTCATTTTATTGGTTTTGCTCCTTTTTCATCATGGTTGTATATTTGAGTTTCTCTTAGATGTTGTCTATAGTTTGCTCTTAGTTTTGCTATTCTTCTTTATTACACTTGATTGAATTGCTCTTGACTCCTTGTTATTCTCAAAGCTCATCCACGTTAATGTCATTAATTTTCTTGTGTGGCTCCAACATGTATTTCCGTTCCCACACATGATTAATACTTTTTGCTTTTGATCAAGGTTATTTTCTTTTTATTGATGTCACTTTGTTATCATCAAAATATATCCTGTATCTCCAGTGTTAGCCCTTTGGTGTCACCCAATTGTTGTACATTCATAAATAATTCCCACCCACCCATTTATATTTTAACAAATTTTTTCTTATTTTATCTTATAACGTTTAAAAATTGATTTTTAAACTAGCATTTCCTTTATCCCTAATTTATTTCTGGTGACTTATTTTAGATTTTTTAACAATTGATTCAAACTGTAAAAAGCGTATACATATAATTACACATTTAACTCCATCCAAGTTTAATAAAAAAAAAATGTGCATGATCCCAATCAAGTTCAAAAAAGAGTCAGTTTTTGCATGTTTTATTTAAAAATAATTATGCTTTTAAAAGTGAGGTGAAGCTAGCATTTTGTCATTGTTTATTGATGTGTGTGCCTTTAAGATTATAAAAACAAACGACTTTATTCTGTAACTGGATTGCCCTACTCCTTTGGCAAGAAAAAAGTTTATCATTGTACAAAAAAGGATGAGTTTGTAACCTATTTTCTATTTCTCAAATAGTCATAGTGACTTTAGTTTAAGAAAAAAAGGGTACCAACCATATCCTAATGGAATGTGAGATATGCCACACTTTATGTGGTTATCTTTCTGCTTGTTAATTCCATGATTCCAGATTATCACGAGAGCCTTGTTCGTTTGGATGTGTTCTTATCTCTAAATTAGTGGACAGAAGATTTTTATTACTTTTAAACTTAGTGAGTTATCTTTTTTATTTACCAAAAGCCATATGTGGTAAAACGAAAAGGAAAAGGAGCTCTTGTTGGTTCGGGGAAGACAGCACTAGTTAATGCACTATGGTATGGTTCGAGTTCTTCAAGAGGTGGAAGAATTATCTAAGAAAAATAATGTAAAACAGTAAAAGTCCAAGACTACTGGTAAATAAAATATCATAGTAACAAAGAAAATAAAAAATTTTGAAACAAAAAATACTGAAAACTGTCAATAATATTTATACTAAATTATTTTAAAAGACTTTAAAAGGAAAAAATTGAATCGTTAAACATAATATTTTTATTGGTAAAATAATAAGTTATGTCTTCAATAAAAATAAAATAAAAAATATATAACCTTAAGAAAAAATTCATAAAACAAGACCCAACATGGCTATTTGGTCAAAAATAGAAGAAAGGAATCTTATTAAAACCGGTCCGGTCATTGACCCGGTTGAGGTACTGAGTCATTGGTTCAACTAGTAGGTCACTAGTTCAACCGCATGAACCGATAATTACATGCAATTTTTATAATTTACATTAAAAAATTTTAAACATACTCAGATATCTAAAAAAATGATAAAAATTTCAAGTATTTTAATATAAAAAATAATGAATCACATATTATTATCCAATAAAAGATCAAACAAAAATATAATGATCGTGATACGGGGCTTTAGGTTCAGAAAACTATATCTCTAACAATAAATCAAATCAAATTTTTTTGCATAGTGCATAATTGAGATAATATTAGTGTTGTAGGTTCATAACTTATCTAAGTCAATAAGCAAAAAAATATTCAAATATGTCCATTATGATTTTTTTTTTATAAAAAAATTGGATTTTTTTTTGGGGACCGAGTCGGGTCACCGGTTAACCAACCGGGTAACCGGTTTTCATGAAAACTGGCCGGGATGGACCGGGTCGCACCGGTTCTGATGCATGATCGATCTGTTGCTTCAACCGGACCGATTATATGACCAGTTTACCGATTTTCGGATCGACCCGGCCGAGTCGGTCTAGGAGATTCCGTTAATACTTTTTGTTGTTGTTGAAGTTATCATATCTTTAATAACTCGTTACTAATATTAATTATGTGTTGTCATTTTATATTTTAAGCAATTAAATATATTTTTTTTAAGAAACTGATAATTTAGTAATTGGAACTAATATTTTAATTATGTATTGCAATTTTTCTATTATAAGTAAATGAACATCCCGTCAAAAGAAATAATACCCAAACAAAATTGTAAAGTAAAGTACAAATTTGTTTTACTATATGCGCTCTCAGCAAATTTATATTATTATTATTTTTTATTTTTTTTTAAACATCAACCTGTATGTGTTTGAAACCCTAATAACCTTACTAATTTGATTTTGGATTTGAACCTTTTTACCTTCTTTAAGAATTGTCATTTTCAGGAATCCAACAATCTACCATTAATATGTTTCTTTTATTCCTTTTAAACTATGAATATTGAAATATCTTATTTTTCCGTAAGAGAAATTTGTTAATCTAATTATTAGTCTTTCTCGGTGTGGAAACAAATCGAAATCAAAATCTCCATTTAATTATGCAGCTTATTTAATAACTTATACTAATTCAAAACAATATTTAACTTTGTTTTGATTTGTTTGGGATTCATGAAATTTGAATATATGACTAAAATTGTAAAACCTTATTTTCTTTTGGTATCCGTAAAACCTTATTAAATCGTGAGACTATTCTCTACCAAAAAAATAAATAAAAATTGTGACACTATTTTGGCTTGGGAATTATTCTACATAAACCACTTTTTTTTTGTATTTCTTCCTTGTGCTAAATGATAATTTAAAGTTTCTAATTATGATTATTATTTCAGCTTTGTTATCAAGCTAAAAGTAATATAGACTTAAATGGCATTATAATTTATAAGTAATATTTATGGGAAAACATTTATATCTAGTACACACAATTATGTATGTATAAATAAAAGCGCGTATATGGTTAGCCGATAAAAAATAGCTTAATCAGTGAGATTAAACAATATTAATAAAAAATATTTTGTGTTAGATATTATGGATTTTGGAATAAATAAACCTTCCATCCGGAAACTTCTAACCACCAATAAACATGCATCATAGCGTCGAAGTGTCCAAATAATAGTTGGTGTCTAATTGCTGTGCAATCTTTGGCTCTGACAATCACAACGCGCATATATCATTAAACTCATTGGTTACAAAAGAAAAAAAATAATAATTCCCCACTTCTCAATGGACCACGTGCTTCGTGTTCATTTGTCTATTTCTTAGCTTCTTCCTCACAAAAGCATCCCAAAAAAAAGATCGATTATGCAATCAAATTTGATTATTAACGAAGGGAAAAGTATTTGTTTTGTATTTTAATTTATATTTTATAGTAATTATATTTTGGATTGAGATTTTGATACGACGATGTTCGAAAGTAATAGGTAAAATAATTTATCTTATAAAAATATTAAAATTAAAAAAGCTAGATTATTGTCATTATTATAATTATTTTCAAAATTTTCCATGACGATAAGCCGATAATATGCTGGTAACCTATTCCCTTGGCTTTATGCTCTTATTATACTCTCTTTCTTTCTTTTTCACCTTTGCTTCTTCTCAACGTTCGGTAGCCTAAAAGTTAATCTCAATAAAATAAAATAAAATTTATTTATTTATTTATTTACTTGCAAGTTAATGTAGATAAATTATTTGTATTTATTTCTAAAACGACATTATTATTTTGAGATTGAAAGATTAAAAAATTATAATTAAAATTAAAATTATAATTATAAAGACTACAATAATCCTGAAATAATTTTTTTTTTTTTTGGAAATATTTCAATCGGTTCATTGTTTTGCAACTAATCCGATCAGGGAGGGTCCATGATTAAGGCTTTAAACCCCTCTCAAAGGTGATACTGGTTATATTCGAATACATGTTCTCACCCTCATCTGCTTAGCTCCCATGCGCTAACTGAGCTACCACAATTTGATAAAATAAATTAAAATTATAAAAATACTATAATTTTTATCTCAAAACGATGTCCTATTAAATTTATTACAGATAATTTATCTGCAACCTATAAAAAACGACCCTTTTATTTATCTAAAAAAAGTAAAAAAAAAAAAAAAGAGAGTTTAGAATTAGAACTTAGAAGTTAGAACATTGTCATATCAAAATCTCAATCCAAAATATAATTACTATAAAATATAAATTAAAATACATTCCAGTAGAGCCTGCAGTTAAGAGAGAGAGAACACAGAAAAGTGGGTTTATTAGTTAATTGTAGAGAGAGAAAGAGAGAGAGGGGCATGGCCACCAGTAGCTTGAACACTGGTTTAACCTCTTCTTCTTCTTCTTCCTCCTCTTTTTTCTGTTGAGATATTCAGAAACTGCGTGTTGTGTTGTGTTGTTTCATTCATCACCTAGAGAGAGAGAGAGAGAGAGAGAGAGAGAGAGTTTGTGGTGTGGTGATTCCAGATGCTTTGGAAATGGGGAAAAATGAGCAGCAATATCTGCAACAAGAAGAGCAAAGTGATTCTCATGCGAGTGAGGCTTCACGCTGTTTGGTGGTTGTGGGAGCATTCAGTTTCAAGTGTCTCTTCGTTCTCATCCTAAGTTTGTCGGCTCTCGTTTCTGGCCTTTTCTGGGTTTTTCCTAGACACTCCGTCACATTTAGTTTTGATGCAAAAGATGTAATTAAGCAAAGTGGTGAGTCTCCTCCTTCCTTTCCTTTCTCTGATTACCCTTTTTTCAACAATTTAGCATGTTTTTCCTAGGTTTTTTTTTTTCTTCCTTATTTTCTCTTGTGGGTGGTTTGGCTAGCGAATTGGGAATTTTGTTTTTTTAATTTTACATTTTGATTATTTAATTTTTTTTTTTTTTTTTTTGTATTCCAATTATAATTGCTATTGTCTTCTTGAAAATTTTCGTCTTTGTTAATGGTGTATTTGATAGGTATGATACTGATTGGTTATCTCGAATTTGGGTTGTGAAGAAATCGCTTTTTGGTTCTGATGTTGTTTCTCAAAATTAAAATTTGTGATGTTTTGAGTGAATTGCTTTATTGTTTCTTCTTCTTCTTCTTTATTTGTTTAATTGAGGAATTCTATTTCATCTGCTTCGGCCAGGTAGGTGTGCAGTTGTTAGTCTGACTCTGATGTTTGTGATCTGTTTTGTCTGATGTTTGGTAAATACAAATTGAGGGATTCAAAAAAAAAAAAAAAAAAAATTGTGAGGATTTTGGGCATGAGTTCTGTTTACAAAATTCATTTTGATGGAACATGCTAAGATGAGCCGCAAGAATACTTGTCAATCTGTGATTAATGCTCACTCTAAACATTGATTTTCAAGGTGCGATAATTTGATAGCTCCTGATATGCATAACCAGTGTTGTCTTTTTGATTGTGTGTGTCACTGCTGTCATGGATTTGAATTTCATAGTATGTTAATGTTATATGTATGAGCAATGAATTGTGGTGGAAATTTGTATATGTATCGCTTGTATTGGCTCAAGAACTAAAACTGCTGCTTGCTATATCAGTAACTGTATGTAAAAAATATGTTTTTGAACAAATGTCTGTAAAAGATATATATATGGAATTACACATTAATTTTGTGCAGAACTGGAAAAATATTATCTTAATAAAGCTTTAAATTATCAGTAGATCGTTAAGTTACTGTTGCGCCTTAGCAAGTGCTGGTAGACTCATTAGCAAGACCCCATGCTTAGAGAATGTTATACTTGGTAAATATCAGCAGTTTGCCCTTCTTCCCTTCAGGTAATCATATCAGCAATTTGCGATACTTTTTTTTAATCCTATTATACAAAAAAACTTGTTAATAGTTACTAATGTGAATTATTTCAATAGATAATTAAATTTATTGAACTTGAATTAGTTGTAGTCAGCTGCTGTAAAATAGCCTAGTAATGCTTCATCACCAGGCATTACTTTTAGTTACCTGATTTTTTTTTTTATGTCCTTGACCAATGTATTCATGGCTTAGCATTGTGTGACTACCTCCAACCTGAGTAAATTATTTTCAGTTCCAATCTTGTACTGGTGAAAATGAAAGTCCTTTTGCTGTTCATATCCTTTATTCTGTGCAACTGTCACTCATAAGTTTGTGTCTCACTTTCCTTTTCTAATATTTTTTAATGATTAATCTTATATCCATTTGAATTCTTGTCTATGTGACATTACTCAATTTATTGATGATTTTTTTTTTCTTGGAAATATTTTCAGCTACTGTTCAGACATCCTTCAGACTGGAGAAACCTGTTTCACAGCTTATTCCATACATTGAAAGACTAGAATATGAAATATATAGCGAAATAGCTCTGCCAAATACAAAGGTTTCACCCAATCTTCTGGTCTTATATTTTTTCCTAAGTCTCTGTTTAGGCATAAAAAGTGGCTTATAAGCTATTTACTCTTACAGGTGGCTATCCTATCCATGCACCAAAGTGTTGCACCTAACTGGACTGACGTGGTGTTTGGTGTTCTCTCTGATCCAATGAATGCTTCAATAAATCCAGTGTCCTTGAGTGTGCTGAGGTCAACATTTGTTGAACTATTCCTCCAGCAATCCAACCTGACTTTGACAACATCAATATTTGGGAATGTGTCTATATTTGAGATCTTAAAGTTTACTGGGGGGGTAACTGTAATACCACCAGTGCAGTCTGCTTCTATTTGGCAGATACCTCAGGTTCTGTTTAATTTTACTCTTAACAATTCAATATCCGAAGTTCTGGATAATTTTGATGATTTCAAGGATGAATTGAAGTTTGGATTGGGTTTGAAGTCTGACGAGGTATAGTCTCATAACCTGTTTCACTTATTATTTGGGGCATTACAATTTTGTCTTATAAACACCTCTTCACTTAAAACCCTAAAGTTGTTATGTATTTCTGCTTTATATCAGACTCAACTTGAATTTAATCACAACAAAATTTTCTTGTTAGTTTTTATTTTTTTTTATTTCTTTTTTTCTTGTACACAATATACTGAAATTTTCATGGAACTTTTATTTTTTAATTTAGAAAACAAAGGCTGCAGAAATTTAGTCAATAACAAATATCCATTATTTATTTATTTATTTTCATTTTGGGGTCAAAGATAATGGATGTTCTATAGTTTGTATGGTGGGTCTCTATGACCTTGCTGGTAATAAATAAAATTTTAAGGGTGTACCTGTTTGAGTAGGTGGAAAACAATGTCTTTTTGGATACAGCAAAGTCCAGATACATTGCCCTTTTTTACTTTTTTATTTTTCATCTAGACTTTATTAATGTCCAATTTTATACCTTTATTCTTTGCCTAATCAAACAAGCATAGCCTAAATCATGAGTCGAATAAGAATGAAAGTTTGCGTTGTTTAATATCTTGAGAAATTGAAATTTCACTAATGATATACAAAACTTATTCCATTGGATCTACTTTATCCTAAAACCCACTTGCTACAGAAAAATATTAGAAGTTGGATTTGATTCCATTCACAGATTGCTATAATAGATTCTACCAATCTTTGTGCAAATAAGAATGACTGTGTTACTCTTTGTGCAGCATGTATATGTGCAAATAACAAATGCAAATGGCTCAACGGTAGCTCATCCTGTAATAGTGCAGGCTTCAGTCATGCAAGGCTTTGGGAGCCTCTTGCCTCAAAGATTGAAACAATTAGCTCAAACAATAACGGGCTCTGCTGTAGGAAATCTTGGCCTTGATAACTCAGTTTTTGGCAAAGTCAAAGAAATCAGGTTATCTTCATTTTTGAAGGATACGCTACATGCTTCATCTCCTTCTCCTGCTCCATCCCCACAGTTAATTGATCACTCTGAATCGTCAATTTCACCATATCGTGCTCCTTCTTACCCTCCAGTTTCCCCATCAACGGCTGAGCCACCTCCTTGTTTTGACTGTGAAGTATCCTCACCTGCACCTTCTACTATGATCGAGCATCCTCCAGATCCCTGTCCAGACAGCAGCTTCATATATCGTCCAATCCCTTCACCAAAATCTTATTCTAAACCTGCTGTTGCTCCTTCCTCAGATTCTGCCAGCCACACCACTGTGAAAGCTCCAGATCTGTCACGTGTAGCTGAGGTGTCTCGTGTATCCAAGCTTCACCAGGGTGAAGGGAGATCTAAAAAATTGGTGTATCAGTTACTTGCTCCATCCTCTTTATGTAAGTTTATCTAGCCTAATAGACACTTCTTTCATTCCTCATGCTTGGCTATAGTTGAAATGATGATGAGATTTCCATATGCTGCTGAACATTCTATTTAAGCGTCCTCTTAAAGTCTTTGTTCAATTTTTTCGTAGCTTCTAATCCTTAATGTAGAATGGTTACTCATAGTTTTTTTATACATTTCATCAGTAAGATTTTTTTATTTGCACAATGTTTAATACGGGAACATTTTGGGATTTTTTTTTTGGTTTTGATTATTATAAACTTTCTGGTTTCAAATAGGCGATTATTATCCAGATTAGCTACCTGAATATGAAAATCTAATAAGAATATCTAGATACTAATTGATTTTGAATGATGTTGACAAGGGAAGTGAGGTTTAATTGGTAAGCTTTAAACATAATTTGAAATGGGATCCAAGAGGCCTCTGTTTGAGACTAAATATTCTTGCATCGAACATGTGTCTGTGGAGGACAACTGTTGCAAAGGTGTGGCACCTAACATGTATGTCAATTACTTTCAAAGAAGTTGTTGAAGGCAGGAATAATTGCACATTACCTTTAAAAGCTTTAGTTGCTGTATTAGATGATTCAGATTCTTTTATTATCATAATAAATTCATTGATTTTTGGTCACCTGACTTGCTTTCTTGTTTTTTCTTTTTCCTTTTTCTTTCTCTCTTGCAGCTTCAGCAGGTGGTGATCTCGGTAGGGGAATCATGCTAATGGGATTTTGTATGCTAATTTCTTTTGTTTTTCTCAATGATATCATGTTTTGATAATATGGAGATGTTGCCTAATGAAGGATCCTCAAGCCAGGCAAGGGGGGCTACAGCTTAATGATGCTTTGAAAGTTTTGCTCAGAGAAACCGTCAAATTTAATGTCTTAATTTTACTTCAGGCACGCAACCACCATGTAAAGCTCCGTGGGTAAAGGGTCAAAGCCAAAAAGTTGGCAGGCCTCTCATCTAGAATTATATATTTTATGAAGCATCAAATTGATCCCAAAGGGGGTATACTAACAAACAGCATGATCCAGAGCAAAATTGGCTTTAAGATGTCAAAAGAACCATCCCTTGTATTCGATCAAGTGTATGATATGCAAAGAATAATGAGTTCTTTGAGCATCTGAATCTGTAAAAAATCTACAGTAATATTCAGCAAAGGCATAAGTTAGTCACACTTGTATATCTCTATGCTCTCCCTACCCTTCTTTCTCCCTGCTTCTAAAAGAAAATAATAATTCAAATTTATCCATGGGAGAAACTCTGAGAATGGAGAAGACGGACAAAGTAAAATGTATGGTCACAAGTCTATACTCCGAAAATTGGGGTTTGAGTTTAACACACAGAAAGTTAAAATCTTGAAGTGACATAAAAAAAAAGTGAGTTTGGAATGAGTGTTTTGTACGGATTTCAGCTTGAAGTGACTACACTAATTAAAAGGAGGCAGGCTAAGGTTTTACGGGATCACTCAATCACCAGGGTTGATATAAGCATCATAGTCCTTATTATAATTTTATTATTGATCAGTAGCAAAAAATACTTTCTTTATAAGTCATATACGTATTGAAGTAATTTATTCATGATATAATTTTCAAACAAAAGGCATGCACCATGGGTATGAAATATGAAAGTCTGACTTTTCCCCCCACACTCGAAAGGCCTTTTTAAACCTCCCAGCAAAGCATGCTTTTACTTAGCTGGTTGTGACTTGTGATTGAGTCAAATAACACTGCCTTATGAATTTTCAAAATTTATGCGGATAACACCATTTTCAATGCAAATTAAATGTAATTCGAAAATAAAGTCAAAAGCCTGTGCAATCAAAGCATGTTCTGTATTGTCTAGCTAGAGCCTTAAAAAAAAGGGAAATGATATTTTTCTCATTAGTTGTGTGTAAATGTGAAAGATTTGGACGGCAAAATGGGAGTTCAATAATTGTGAATAAATTCAAAAATTGTCGTGCGTAAACATGTAAAAAGTCATACATGTGTGTGATGGAATAAAATGAGTCTATAGACGAAATAGGCTAGCCTATTTAAGAGAGATGTTATCTTATATACCAAAAAAGAGATGCTATAATCAAATGGTGGTAGCTCAGTTGGTGCATAAGAGCTAAACAGGTGGAGGTGAGAGCATGTGTTCGAATCTCTCCAGTACCACCTTTGAGAGGAGTTTAAAGCCTTAATCCTGGACCCGTCCCGAATCGGATTAGTTGCGAAGCAATAAACTAATTGGAATATTTCCAAAAAAAAAAAAAAAATGCTATTCACCAACTCCGATGCCGGTAACACGTAACACATGCATAATTTTAATTAATAAAATCAACGCTTTCCCGCATACAGATGTAAATAGATCATTCTATTCCCTTCATATGTACAAGAACAAAATTAGTCCATAATCAATTCAGAGGACAGAAATAACATTGGAAGCAATCTGGCTTCCGACAAAAAAATATCAGAAATCTGGTTCTCCTCTTTGGGAACTTCAGAAAAGCGAGATACCCAACTCTTACACGATAACTATTGCTTGACTACAACTCCTTCAAAAATGCCATCAGGCCTGAAGTTAGGTGCAAAAAGTCTTGGATCAACAGGTCCTGGAAGACTGAATGAAAGCGTGAATGGTCCAGGAGAGCATAACTGTCTGATTTTCATCTGGAAAACACGTGATTGTTTCGTTATAGTTCTTCCACCAGTTAACAACCCTCTGATGTGAACCCTCCCATCAGATTCTATATCACAACTGAACTGGCCTGCTACAAAATGTGATGAGAATTCATTTTAAAAAACAATTATGAAAGAATCTTTCAGAGAAGCATGCATACATGTTATGACAGTTATTGATTTATCATTAGATGAAGATAGCTGGTGTGTCTAAAACCGGGACCGGTGAGACAGGATGGCCTAAGGCAGATCCTCATTTTCGGATCCTGGAGTAACATGCATTCAGAAAACTTGCACCGCTATCTTTTCTTTTACACTTCTCACAACCCCTTTTTTTCCTTTCCAAAAACACTAGGTAAAATGAACTAAAAGTCACAGCATTGAACTTTATATTTTTACTAAAGAAGGTCCTCCTACACCACAAGCAAGCGATATATAGTTGTTCTCAGTAATACTTAAAACTTACATGATATACCAGCTCATATGGACTTCACTCCCTAGGCTTATACTCTTCGTTGAAGGTGCTAAGCATTCTTTACTGTGCTCAACACCGCTCATAAAATCGCCCGAAGAAATGAGTTCATTACAGGTTGAACAACTATGCTCAAAGAGGCCAATAACAAAATGCAGGCTACAGGAAATCTTTGATATTCATGATTTAATAGCAATATACCAGAGAGAGAGAGAAGAAAAAAGAAAAAACCCTCTGTGTTATAATACATGTAAGGTTCATTTCCATTTCTGATCAATTCAAAAAAGAATACTTCCAGCAGATAATCAAAGATAATAATAAGAAACTTGAGTAACAAAAGGAGAGATTAAACAGAGGAGAAACATACTGTAATCTCTCTTGACCCCTGGTAAGGAAACTCGGAATAGATATGCCACTTTACTAATACCAATATCCACAACACCAACAGATGGACCGAATAGCCCTCTTCTGGCTGTCCCTGTTAAAATAACAGAAGAATCTCGGTCACAATCATCAATGTCGGGAATAGAGAGAAGGGGCATCATGGTAGGACTATCAGATTTGCACATCTTCTTGGAAGGATCTCCATTAGCATTATGTCTTGCAGGGAAGACGCGCGGAAACTCTGGTATTGGCGGAGTATCATCAACATACTTTCTCTTGTGCTCTTGTTGAAACTTTCTTGACTGGCATCCCCAATTAGGAATAGTCTCTGGGACTTTGTTCATACAATTACTCTCACTTTCCTTGCTCAATCCACGACCAAGTTGAAAACGTAGACATTCACTCATATTTAACTTGAAAGTGTTAACACCAGTTAAAGACATGAATCTACTTAAATCATCCTCATTGATGCAAGATGTAGAAGGATCATCAATTAAAACAACCCCTTTAACAATCCTAAAGCTATCAGGGTACCATATCTGTTGATGAAGATCCAAAGGGAAAAAACCAGTGAACTGCTCACTATCCTCGGTGAAGTCAGAGCTAGGCAAAAATAACTTTCCCTTTAGATACAAATGCAACATATTGATATCTAAGATAAGGTCAGGTAAAGAATCTTTGAGGAGATAGTAATACAACCTCTCTAAGAGAGGAATGCTAACATAGGAATGCCCCAAATCATTCAACATATATGGTGGCGAACCAGCCATTGATCTTTGAATAACAGAACATCTTGGATTATCAGAGTGGACATCAGGTCCCAAGTAAGTAGTCACAATGAAGTCAATTAAAAATTTCCTATCACTGATTAGGGTTTTTGCAGGGACAACGATAGACCTTCTCTTATAATAAAGATTTGCTTTCAAATCCATGAATGGCGTGAATTCACCTGTACGAGAGGAATTACAATTTAGGAATATATATATATATATTTTTAAATTTCTGATATAGGAACAAAGTAATGAAAATTGAGAATGTGGCAAATTTTCCCAAAAACAAAACCTAGGTACATATACAATTGAGAATTACGATGCACCAGAGAATGAGAGATAATCGCAAATCTAATGTGACCCTGACAAATAACAAATGCGTACAAAGAAAAAGAGAAAACTCACAGACTACAACAATGGCCGCGTGAGAATGGTGAGGCAGGCAGCTTCACCCTTAGGAGGGCTTAGGAGTGAGTGAGTGAAGAGAAATCAGAAATGGTGAGGTTTTGTTTTAAAAATATGTTCTTAGAATAAATGCACAGAGTTTTTTTTTTTTTTTTTTTTTAATTCTTTACAAAACAAGTTTACCAAATAGTTTTTTTTTTCTTCTTTTATTCTGAAAACCAATTCTTAAAATTTATTTTACAAAACAGTTCTAAACAAATTAGTGCAGTACTCGTGCAATGTACGAAGAAAAAAGATATAAATTTTTGTCAACGTCTGTCATTAGTTAATCGTTAAAAAAAACTCGTAATTTTTGTTATTTTGGGAGGTGAAAGAGTTACAACATTGACATAAAAATTTGTTATTATCTATCACAAACAAAACTCTACAATTAAGAAATATCAACTATTATGTAAATAAAAAATAGTTACTTACTCTATATTTGATTATTTTAATATTCAGCAATTCATACAACGTTTAATTGACAAATATGTTGTAGGATAAAATTGGCAAATAAGTCAGGTGGGAAACAATTTTGACTTACTTTTTAAATGAATTCAAATGGGCCTTTTTACATTTTTGTTTTGTTAAATGTTTATTTGTTTGAATTATTTTTAAAAAAGAACAATTTTTGCATTAGAACTATGTTTAACAATTCTTATAAAAATATTTTTTAACACAATTCATCTACATATATTTTAAATGCCTTGTGAGTTATTATGAAAACAAATTTATATAGTTATATATTTGAAACCAATTTTTTCTTATATTATCAAAGGTGTGAACACTACATAATGAGAAATTGATATTTATTATAATTTTATAGTATTTAACTTGTAACTTTTTTTAAATTATAATAAAATAAAAAATTATAAAATATAAGCTAATATTATGTGTCTAACTATTTGATATAAACTACACATCTGTATCAGACATATTGAAATATATTTATTTTTGAATCATAAAAGTTCAAGAAAAATAACAATTCTTAAATAAAACAATTCGACTTTAAAAAATTTCATTTATAAATATTCTAAATATTTTATGGGTATTGTAAATATTTAGATATTATTAAATTTACTCTAACGGCACTTAATTACCATGTTATTAATTTCATAACTTATGTGAACTAATTTATTTATGATAATTTTTTTGATAACTTGAATTTTGTTTTAAAAATATTTAAAATAGAAAAAGTAAAATGAGGAGAGAAAATAGAAAAAGATCAAAATATAAATTCTCGGGAAAATATGAGAAAATCACCAAATTATAATTGTCTATTTTTCATAAAAATTATGCCCTTATATAGACTCTAAATATTAAGAAAAAAATAATTGTACTTTATCACACCTTTAGTGTGGTGATTATATGACACATCAAAAGTCATAAGAAATCAAAAAGACATCCACATATTATGAGGTATATGAAAAGTCATTCAAGTAAATATTTTATAATATTCTCCCTTGATAACTATACAATATGAATATGTCTTGTTAATAAGAAAAACTTAGTGGAATAAAAACTTAACAAAAGAAAAAATAAATATATAATGAACATATTTCTCCTCACATTAATATATATAAAATAATGACACATTCCATTACATATTCATAATTTATTATATAATAATTTAGACTTCCTCGTTAATAAAATGAAAAAAAAAAAACTTAGAGCCGCAAAAACTTAGGAGTCAAGCTCAATAAAATCAAAAGTTTTCATTTAAACCTGGCAAAACATTATAATTGAAGTGAGGTAATATGGGAAATGTGATTTAAAAAAAAAAAAATTCATTGTTACAAGTAACGAATATATAAAAGTAATTGAATTATCCTTTCTGTAATATAAAAGTATACAAGATAATTTAATGGAGTCAGGGACCAAGAGTCCACAATCCACTGTCTAAAATATTTTATGAAGGGAAGCTTACAAGGGTACAAAATAACCAACGGCAAAAAATTTGTTCCTTTAATTATATTTTCCAACCAATACGCCAATGAAATGTTTCTATTTCCATTGCTTAGGCACTCTTCTAAACTTGAAGAGGTTATACATTGGTGCACTGTCAGTGAAAAGTTTTCTTCCGTCCCTAGCTGTAGATTCATATTTCCATGCCGGTCCAATAAGCCATGATGCAGCAACCCCACCAATCAAGCCTCCTAACTGAAACACTATTATGTTAAAGGAAGCTCTAGCAATAGATAAGAAACTATACACAGGTTAGAATGGTTTAATTATTCAATTGAACATTAAGATCACCAGTGCCTCCATAGTAGATACAAAACAAGATGGCTAGTCTTATGCACGGAATTTAAAACTGGTAGACTATTTTTTGATACTATATCTATATGCACATAGTTTTAGTAAGGGTTAGTGTATTAAGTTATTTTTAGAGCCGTTTCTGGTCATGCCAAATTTTAAAAAGTTAATATAGTATCAAGCATGAAATAGGCTACGTTTGTTTAGCCAACAACTGTTACCAAACAAAGGAACTAAGAAATTGAAATCTGAAGAAAGAGAATCTGAAGGCATTTAAAAAAAATTCATTGCTGATATACTCATTAACTTGCAAACTATTGCCTCTTAATTGAAGAAAGAATCAGAAAATGTGAGATAAAAAGCCATGTTACACTTACATGTCCCCAATTGTCAATGCCATTAGACAATAGCCCAATAACCTGCATGAGAAATGCTTGTCACCATTAGAACACAAAGATGAGGAAAGTAAGCCACAGCAACAGTAGCCCTCTCTATAAGTCATAGTCATAGGGTGGTGAATAAGTTAAAAGCAGAAAAAATCCCCAACATAACACTGCATGAAACAACACTACTTCTCCCAGAGACACATTTCCTATCGAAGCATATAACACATTAATATACAAACAGATTCATACAAAGATCTTCCAAAAACTCTGTTCCCTCCTGGCTAATCAGGAGCATGTATTCATCAGCAATTTAGCAGAATCGAAAGTGAGCAGAGCACCTTAACTAAGGGAATGAGAAAACAAACCCTAAATGATTAGTGACAAGTCGAGTCAATGGGCTTAGAAGAAATGACACCATTCAACTTAGAACTGTCTAATTCTCCTAGCTTGAACACTAGAAAAGTTTCAGTTCTACTAACACAGGGAATGAAGACACTTACCATATTGAGAGCAATTATACGTGCTATTTGCTGCAAATCTTCTTTACCACCTCCTACAAGGTCCTTGTGCCGCAAGACAAACACTGCAACTGACCCAACCTGAATCATTATAGCTCGTTAGAAACAAAAGATAACAAAGAAAAAAGATTAACATGTCAGTTTTGTACCGTCCCCATATGGAAAGTTTCCGTAGAAAATCAGAATTCAAATTCAAATATTTTTCCGTTTTTATTTCCTATTAATTAGGAATAATTAAGATTAATTAAGATTGATTGTTTTTTATTTCCTATTGATTAGGATTAATTGTAATTGATTAGAATTAATTGTGATTAGGTTTAGTGAGTCATAGCTAAGTCATTCTTATGATTGTGATTAGGTTTGGTGAGTCATAGCTGAGTCATGCTTAGCTATTTTTTCTTGTATAAATACTCCTCATTCCTCATGTAATTATTCAAATAAATATACTGAAAACCTTTTTCAATATGGTATCAAAGCAGGTTGGTCCTGAGAAAACTCAGCCACCACAACCACCGTCAAACAGGCGGCACAACGCCGGAAAACTCAACCTCCAACCATTATTAAGGTTATTTTCCCTTCCTACAAAGTCCCGAGAGCAAAGTAAGGCTACCAATCACTGTAGAAGGCAAAATCCCAGCTTTCCACCGCCGTCAGCAGCCGTCGGGAAATTTTTCCGGTGACATTTCCGGCCAAGATCCGCACCATTCGAAACAGAAGGAGCCGATCTACAAGTTTCAAGAAAGACCATCGGATTCTGCTGAGCCACGCGCCCCCACGCGCTAGAGAAAGGACGGAGCGTCCACCCTACGCGTTACCACACGCAGCCATGTTGATTAAAAGTAAATTTCCATCCAGCAATGTTGCTCAACAAGGTATAGCGTTCCATGTTGATAATAGTAGTCGATGGATTCTTGATTCAGGGGCTTCAGATCATATGACAGGTAATGCAACCTTATTTTGTTCTTATACCCCTTACTATCAACAATCATGAATAAGAACAGCAGATGGCAGCTTCTCTACTATTGCTGGAAAAGGATCCATTAAACTTTCTGAACACATTACTTTGAACTCAGTCCTTCATGTTCCCTCTCTTACTTGTAACCTTATCTCTATTAGCAAACTTACGTCTGAGTTACATTGTGTTGCCAAGTTTTCTGTCAATGCTTGTGTTTTCCAGGAACAGGACTCGGGGCTGATGATTGGCGGTGCTAGAGAGGAAGAAGGACTTTATTATTTAGAAAAAGATTCTTGTGAAGGAAAAAATTTTGTGAACCACTCGGTATGTTTGTCTGATGATTGTAATGATGTTTTGTTGTGGCATCGTCGGTTAGGACACCCAAATTTCATTTATCTTCAGAAGTTGTTCCCAAGCTTATTTATCAATAAAAATCCCAGTTCTTTTTCTTGTGATATTTGTCAGCTTGCAAAACATTCTCGTGTTTCTTATCCTCCTAGAGTCCATCATGATTCTTCTCCATTTACCTTGATTCATAGTGATATATATGGGTTCCAGCCCGTGAAAAAAATATCTCTGGTGCTCGTTGGTTTATAACTTTCATAGATGATCACTCTAGGGTATGTTGGGTATACCTTCTAAAGGATAAGTCTGACGCTGCATCCATTTTTAAAAACTTTCATACTATGGTTCAAACCCAGTTCCAGACCTCTATCCAAATTCTTCGAACTAACAATGGTACTGAATATTTTAATTCTGTTCTTGGAAACTATCTCAGCCAGCATGGTATTCTTCATCAAAGTTCTTGTCCTAAAACCCCTCAACAACATGGGATGGCTGAAAGAAAAAATAGACATCTCCTTGAAGTTGCTCGAGCTCTTATGTTTACCATGCATGTCCCTAAATATTTGTGGGGGGAAGTTGTCTTGACTGCAGCATACCTCATCAATCGGATGCCTTCTCGTGTCCTAAATTTTCAATCTCCTTTATCTTGTCTTACCCACACCTTTCCTTCTTTTCGGGCTCATTCTTCCCTTCCTCCCAAGTTGTTTGGCTGTGTGGCTTTTGTACATGTTCCTTCCCATCAAAGGTCCAAGCTCGATCCTAAGTCCATTAAATGTGTCTTCATAGGATATCCTCCTAACCAAAAGGGCTACAAGTGTTACTCATCTTCACTTCGTAAGGTCTTTGTTTCTATGGATGTCACATTTGATGAGAGACAATCTTTTTTTCCTTCGACTTCTCTTCAGGGGGAGTCTATTGGGGTTGATGAAGATAAGTCTTGGAAACCAAATGATTCTGTTGTTTTGCCTTTGCCGTTGGAGACAGGGGGAGTCATTATGAAAAAGACAGGGGGAGTTAATGTGTCAGATAATGGAGATCCTCCCGGGAAATGGGAAAAGTTTTACAGCAGGCGAGAATCACCTCAGGAGCCTCTAGACTGCCAGGATTCTGACTCGAGTCTTAGTTCCAGCAACACTGATACAGCCAACCTAGATGTGCCTATTGCTCTCCGAAAAGGTACTAGATCTTGTACTGCTCATCCTATTTCTCATCATATCACATATGAAAAGTTGTCCCCAGGTTTTCGTGCTTTCAACACTATGTTAGACAGTACAAAAATACCAAAAAATATCCAAGAAGCACTTGATGATCCAAAATGGAGGAATGCAGTCTTTGAAGAAATGGATGCACTCAACAAAAATGGAACTTGGGAGTCTGTAGCATTACCCAGAGGAAAGAAAACAGTAGGTTGCAAGTGGGTGTTCACAATAAAGTTTAATGCAGATAACAGCATCAACAAGTATAAGGCCAGACTGGTTGCTAAGGGATTCACTCAAACTCATGGGATAGACTATCAAGAGACATTTGCCCCTGTTGCCAAGCTTAACACTATCCGAGTTCTTTTATCACTTGCTGCAAATCTTGGTTGGCCCTTGCAACAATTAGATGTAAAGAATGCTTTCTTGAATGGTGATCTACATGAAGAAGTTTATATGGATCCACCACCTGGTTTTGAAAAAGGAGACGATTCAGTATGCAAGTTGAAAAAGTCTCTCTATGGTCTTAAACAATCTCCTAGAGAGTGGTTTGAGAAGTTTACTCAAGCTGTTAAGGGAAGAGGATTCCTCCAAGCTCAGACTGATCACACTTTATTTTTAAAACACTCTAATGGTGGTAAAATTGCTATTCTCATTGTTTATGTTGATGACATAATTGTCACAGGTAATGATTGTGAGGAGATAAGCTCTTTGAAGAAATGTTTAGCTAATCAGTTTGAACTGAAGGATCTTGGATCTCTCAAATATTTCCTAGGCATGGAAGTTGCTCGAAGTAAGGCAGGAATTTCTTTAACTCAGAAGAAATATATTCTAGACCTGTTACAAGAAACAGGAATGCTTGGGTGCAAGCCAGCAGAGACTCCAGTTGAACCCAATATTAAATTGGGAATCGAAGATGGGAAAGAAGTTGACAAAGAGCAGTATCAGAGATTGGTGGGGAAGTTGATCTACTTATCTCACACTCGGCCTGATATTGCATTTGCAGTTAGCATGGTTAGTCAATTCATGCATTCTCCTAAGGAAAAACACCTGAGTGCAGTTTATAGAATTCTGAAGTACCTCAAAAACACCCCTGGACGAGGATTGTTCTTTAAAAGGGGACACAAGAGGATGATTGAAATATATACAGATGCAGATTGGGCTGGCTCTGCATTGGACCGAAGATCCACTTCAGGATATTGCACCTATATTTGCGGAAATCTTGTGACCTGGAGAAGTAAGAAACAAACAGTTGTTGCCCGGAGCAGTGCAGAAGCAGAATTTCGGGCTCTAGCCCATGGTATTTGTGAAGGAATTTGGTTAAGAAGACTCCTTGAGGAATTGAAGATCTCTTTTTCCCTACCTGTCAGAGTGTATTGTGATAATAAGGCTGCTGTCAGTATTGCTCAAAATCCAGTTCACCATGACAGAACAAAACATGTGGAGGTTGATCGCCACTTTATCAAAGAAAAAATAGATGATGGAAGTGTATGTATGGTGTATATTCCTACCAAGAGCAGATTGCAGATATTCTCACTAAGGGCCTACACCGGCCAGCCTTTGAAGACTTGATTGGCAAGTTGGGAATGATCAACATTTACCTCCCAACTTGAGGGGGAGTGTAGAAAATCAGAATTCAAATTCAAATATTTTTCCGTTTTTATTTCCTATTAATTAGGAATAATTAAGATTAATTAGGATTGATTGTTTTTTATTTCCTATTAATTAGGATTAATTGTAATTGATTAGAATTAATTGTGATTAGGTTTAGTGAGTCATAGCTAAGTCATTCTTATGATTGTGATTAGGTTTGGTGAGTCATAGCTGAGTTATGCTTAGCTATTTTTTCTTGTATAAATACTCCTCATTCCTCATGTAATTATTCAAATCAATATACTGAAATTTTCTACAATTTCAAACCAATATAGGCATTCGGGAGAGATAAGTAGTCATAAAACAAAAAAGAAAGTGGGTTCAGAGGAAGGAGAATGAAATGGGTGGGAAGGAGTTTCCTCAGCTTCTTCAATAACCATCCCGTTATGTCAAGTTGTCAACTACATTATTTTACCCAAGCTTTTTCAGTTGGAGGGTGAAAATTTCTTGGAAACAAAGATAGAGATATTGTGAAAGTGAAATCAAATTCTGAACAAAGAAGCATTTAACTTCAGTCAAAACTACAAAACTACAATTTGGATCATGCACTTTCTGAAGTCTGAACAATTAGGTAAAATGGGGAAAATAAACATCAAATACTAAGTATATATTCTTGCATTTAAAATTATAGCTTCAATTTAAATCATCTATATATATAACAATAAACATGTCCAAGGCTGATGATAGATCAAATTTGTGTCAAATAAAATATTGAAAGAACTTACCAGTCCAAAAATTGCTCCTGATGCACCTACTGCAGGCATTCTGCAGAACCAATAACTCATAGCTGAACCTGATTTTCTAGAAACTATGGCATTAGAATACTTGGGGGTAATCAATTTCATCAGCTATTTTAGAGAGAATATGAGCGGTTACTTGCAATTGCAGAGACAGAGTAAATTGCAAGATATCTCCGAGGACCACTGAGGCTCTCCACAGTGGGACCAATTGAATTTAAGGAATAACAATTTACCTGCAGAGAATTCTTAGTAATTTTAAGATCTACACAAACCAGGCATGACAAAATAATCAAACAAATAAATTCAAACCAGACCATAAGGTGTCCAATGTTTGCATGCAAAAAGGAAGACGTGGCAAGTCTCCAAAGTTGTCCTTTGTCAATGAGACTGTTTATCTAGTAAACATGCACAACTCAAATGTAAATACTCCACAAAATTTAGGGGAATGTATTCAGAGAATCAGATTCTTAATTGCAACCTTACCTTTGCTCCCCACAATAAAAGCTTGCCTTGGGTTGCAAGTTGTGCAAGATAAAATCTGTGCAAACAATTAGTAAATAATAAGCCATCTTACCAAGTTACATGAAAATTTGCAAAAACAGTAACATCAGCTAGTAAAATTACAGGCTTACAGCAATATGCACACAATGACACAACAAAGTCAAAAACTTAATACACAATTCCAGGAAATATGCTAATGGCCTAATACTCACAGGACATTAGCAGCGAGGAGAATATTTGTCCATTTCCTTCCATTAAATGGATTTTTGTTGGACATCTTGGAGTTAGACATCCCAGCATTTCCAAAGCGATCTCCATGTCCTCCTCCTCCCCCATTAAAGAAAGAGAAACTAGTTGAACATGTGGAAGTCAAATCATCATTTGATAGTTGAAGATAATTCATTCCTTTGAGTTGAAGGCATTTTTTACACCATTTATCCTTCAATCTAAACACGTGATTTAAAGGAGCTAGTTTCTGTTCAATAAGAGAGACATGGGAGTCAGGAAATGCTACCACAAAATCAAAAGAAGAGACCCGATGGCCAAATTCATATACACCAAAAATATAAAAAAGAAGATTGAGAAGGCACAAGAGAAAGCTTCTTCTAGCATCCTGAAAGCAGCCACCAGAATGGTTAATTATTTTCTAGAGCAAGTTCACTTTCATGAAGATACCAGACAGAAAAACAACTCCCATTTAAGCCCAACTAGTGAGTGTGGGGTGGAGACAATATTTGTAAACAGCCTTATCCTTGCATAATTGCATGCAAAGAGACTGTTTTATGCATTTGAATCCATGGCCTTTCGGTCATCAAGATACTAGACAACTGATCAAAAATCAAATACACATCTCAACAACCATAGCCTATTTCGCAATCCCATAATCAGCATTGAAAGTAGCATGAATCCAGTAACAGATTGATCAACTAGGACCCCATGATTATTATAACCGAAATTCTACATAAACAACTTTTTTAAGCGATATATACTCATGACTTTCATTTCAATTGGTTCCCATAATCTAAATGATGAAAAGAGAAATAATTTGAAATTTTGAATCAAACCCAACTCCAAAATTTTTGTAATTTGTAGCAAAATTAAGTAATTGAATAAATGAGAAGAGACCTTGAAACAGGAGTGAAGAAGAACCCCAAGGCGGAGATGGTGGATGGCGCGGTGGCGGAGAAGGTGGCCGAAGTGGAGGGACGCGGCGGTGGCAATAAGATCAAGTGGGTAAGGACCCACCTTACAAATTGGTGACAAAAATGGCTGAGCCATATTCAATCCTGGGATTCTCTTCCCAGCTCCGAACACAAAATGTTTTCAGCAAACAAAGTCACCACTTCTTGCATATATTACTTGTGGAACATGTTTCCCTTCATCACCTCTTTTTTATTTATTTTTCATTTTTATTTTTTTATTTTTTCTTTTGAATTTAAGGTAACAACAAAAAGTTTTGCTTATATTTGTTGTGAGAAGTTTTCTTATAAAAGAAATAAAAAAATAAATTTTATAAGCACATCCACAAAATATACACATATAGATAAAATTATTTCCTACACACACATAAAAGTGTATGGAGTTTACATGAAGAGAAGAGAACAAAAAAAAACATGAGCTCGTGTGGATAGAAAATAATTTTATGTTCCACAAGACACATTAAACCCTATTATTATGAATTTTTATCTCAATAAATTTATAATTTAATGGCTTTCTTTTTTGTGGTCTCTAATTTTATCTGCTTAATTTTAATGGAACTATAATTTGCACTTTACAATGCACGAAAGCCAGACTAAAGAAAAAATAGAGTAACTGCTGCAAACAGATGAGCATCAAACAACATGATATGAGAATGCTCAAGACCCCTCAATAACAAAGCAAAGGAATTACCACAAACATTCACATTAGAGATTTACGTGCACAGATAAAGTAAAAGCCATATAGATATATACAGTAAAGAACAAAAATAAAAAATAAAAAATAAAAATCAGGACCAAGTGAAGTTCTCATTTGGAAATGTAATTCTTCACCAAGAAATAAGGTTCCACCCATGTTCTTGAATTGAGGTGCTTGCACCTTTTACCTGCTTATTAGTAACCAAATGTAATAATTCTAATATGACAAACCAGGTTTCAGTATGAAATCTCATAGATGAAGAAGCTATAAAAGGAGCAATTCTCGCCACCAAGAGATACCTGCAGGTTTGTAATAGCTTTATTAGGCCTTAAACTACCATTAGTCTATGGTAATATCCATTTATTGCATAAGAAATTTCGCAGTATTCTCCCGCCTAATAACTAGTATTATTGACTGCTAGATGATTATTAAATTAATTTCAATAATCATATGGTAAAAAAAATAAGATTATATGTTTTAAAAAAAAATATGAATTACCTCTTCGATCACGAGCATGATTATCTTGGAAATTAAAGTAGGACTGTGTCCAATCTATGACTGCACGGATAGGCCTTAACGATGCCAATTGGCTCCAAAACCAGTTCAAGGTGCTTGTAACTTCCTCAAACCCAAAACTCTGCTCATTCTCGTTTTGGAAATGGTAATTAGCACTAGCAACACCTTGTATCTCATAGCGGCACACAGGGCAAGTGTTGTGGATGCGCAGCCAAGGGACAATACAATCAGAATGATAGAAATGTTTGCAGGGCAACTCTCTCACTTCCATATCAAGCTGAAACTCATCTTTGCAAATTGGACAATTGGGGTCACTAGCCAAATGATCTTGTGTTAGTTTCACCATTGGCAATGCTGCAATGGCTGAAGATTGTGCTGGAGGTGGCCCCGGTCGATTGTTCTGAATCACCCCATCAATGAACTCATCTAATGTATTCTCAAATGGGGTGGCATTGTTTGTGTCATAGGCTTGTTGGACCAAGTTTTCTGGTGGGGCAATAAGCCTTGGTGGACTAGTTGGTCTAACAAATCTGAGGGTAATCCAAGCCTGTGGATTTGGACTATCTTCATTTTCTGTTTCCCATTGTGTTGTTGTGTTCAAATGGTTGTGTTGTCTCCTCAGAGTTGGATCAAGAATGAGAGCCAAGCTATGGATAAGTTGAGTAGCAGGTGAAGGCTCCAAGTTATTAGGCACATTCATGAGAAACCTTGGCCTTGAGATATCAAGCTCATAAAACAATTGATGGAAGCAATAGGGACACAATGAGCCATTTGTATTCATAAAGGGTATCCTCACAGTACGTTGGCAAATTAGGCACCAGAAATAGTGGTACGTTCTCGTTCTTCGAACACCATTCACAACAACACGAGGACGACCTGGAAGAGACATTCTGAGTATGTTGTCTGTGTTGGGATGAAAAGGTTGGAGTGTGTGTTAAGGAAGAAGCAAGAACGTGGAACTATTTATATGTGGTTTTCATGAAGTTAAAAAAAGAAGAAGGAGAAAAGGGGTGAAAGGGATGGCTTTAGATTGGGGGCACAAGAAAGGGATTCCTTTTCCTTTGTAACTATTGATTTCTGCTTTGGTTCATCTAATGTCCTGCCTGCTTTTCTTCACAAAATGTGTCTTCTTTTGATAAGGCAAATGATGCTTGAATGATGATAGGAAGTTATACAGTGTTTTTGGTTTTCTTGAGGAATTGTATGTGATACAATACCATATTAATGGATAATACCCAGCTTTTCTTGATGGATGTAGTAATAGCAACCGTGAATGAAAAGTAATGGTGTAAGACAAACTTTCAGGGTTGGGTTACTAATGGGAGACCACTTTGCTGGGTTTCCCAGGAAGAGTGTATTGTGTAAACCAGCTTTTAAATATGGTTGACTTGATTATTTTTTTTTGGTCTATGACTCATAACCATTGCCACAACTTGATAGCATCAAAGTATTTTTTATTTATTTTAAAAGACATAATTTTATATTATTTTTAATCAAATTACGTTATTTTTTCTATGTAGCTAGTATTTTTTTATATTTTCTCTCTCTTTCTGATTTTATGAAAAAAAAATATAAAATATAAAAAAATACTAAATGCATATCAAAACGATGTAATTTTATAAAAAGTGACACAAAATTATGTCTTTTAAAATGATAAATAATTTTTCCTTATTTATTATTATTTTCTTTTAAGAAAAGGAAGCATTTTCTATAGTTTTAAGTCTCTACACTTAATTTGTATTGAATTCGATAGAACTTTGTTATGATTTTAATTTTTAAGGAAAATGCAATACGTATTTTGGACACTATAATATAAGAATAAAAAGTCTTACACTTAACACTAACAAAATAATCATTAATCCCCTTCATCAAACAATTCAATTAATCAATAAATTAAAATAATTAGATACAAGAGAAATCAACAACTAAAATTAAATATGATAGTTATACCAATATAAATCGAATATATATATATATATATATATATATATATATATATATATATATATATAGGGACGGTTATACTTATCACCAGGTAAGTTTATTATCCTTACAATCAATCTCATCATTGTTAGATTAAAATTAAATCTAACGGTTCATAATTACCCCTTATAATCCTAATTTTTACTCTCTCATTCTTTCTCTAGGTTTGTGATCTGCACATCTCTCTCTAAATTCTTTGAAGGTGAGTTCTCATTTGTTATATGTTTATCAAATGAATTGCTAAAAAGTAATAGAAGAATTCCCATTCACCGTACATATAGCAATTCGTCATATATATGTTTACCGAATGAAAGCAAATACAAATTTTTTTACGAATTTCACATCCGAAAACACAAATTCAACCCGTGCGCGTGGTGGATGTTGCGGACAACAAAACAAGAACTCGAATAACATATGAGCAATCAGATCTGTATCTTTTAGCCACCATTGCAGACATACATGTAATTTGAAGAAAATACCACTTCGCCACAAGTCAAATACTCAGAGACTCAGAAATCAGTAATATGAAAGCATATTGTTTCAAAAGAATTGCGATTTCATAAATTTATTCAGTGACAATGGAAATAATTAACTGGTGTGTCCGATTATTTGTCTTGGTGAGATATTTTTGTCGGAATTGAAGTTAAAAAAACTATAACAATAAAGAGAGGACGAGAGAGTTGATCTTCAAATCTAGATAGAGAGAGGTGTGCAGATCACAAACTTAGAGAGAGAGAGAGGGAATGAGAGAGTAAAAATTAGGATTATAAGGGATAATTATGAACCGTTAGTTAATTTTAATCAAACGATAATGAGATTGGTTGTAAGAGTGGTAAACTTACGGTAAGTATAACCGTCCCCTATATATATATGGGGTTTACATTTCTGCAACTGTTGTACGTGCAGCAACCAAATACTTGCCATATATATAGGTGAAAGCATTAAATGCGGAGAATCATAACCATACAAAAGATGAAAGCATTAAATGTGGAGAATCATAACCATGCGTCTGTCATTGATGTATGTAAAACGGTTGCAGAAATGATTTTACTATATATATATATATATATATAATGTATAATATATATGTTCCAACCATCACCACTATTGTCATAGTTCGTCAATTATCTTTATCGCCATCACTAGCCATAAGCCCACCATTATCATTGTCATTAGCTATCACTACGAGTTATTAGTCATCAGTCATCACCAACCACTACCACCCTAAATCACTAGGAATCAACCACATCCTTCACCATTGTCATCAATCAGTCTCACAATTGTCATTGGTTACTGTTGGTGCCACCAACAACTACCCCGTTGCCACCACCAACGTCAGCCAGCCACTACTATTATTGTCTTCACCGTTGGCCCGATCATCCTTTTGGGCCACTACCACCCTCAACCACCGGGCACTAGACACTAATTATCATTGTCACAACTAGCTACCATAATTATCACCCATCATCGATGGCGTTATTACCATCACACTTCTTCTTCAGTCCTTACAATCACCACCGCCGCCACCACTTCAATTGGCCACCTCAACTTGCCATTACTAGCAACTATCACTAGCCATTGAATTAACAATCAATTTAAAATTTAATTTTAAAAAAATTTATTTGATGAGAATATAATTTTCTCTGTTTTAAAAAATATTATAATTTATTATGTATTTTAATATACTTATTTAAAATTATGACTTTTAAAATTTTTTAATAATTTAAATTTAAAACTAATATATAAATAATAATTTTAAAAAATTATATAAAATTGTATTAAAAAAATAATTTTATCTATTTATATCATACAAAGATAAATTATCAAATCCATATTGTATGATATACTTACCTAATCCTCTTAAACTTTATTCAAGAGGTTAGGATTGGAATTTTGCAGTTGCAGTTGCAGTACTTTAACTTAAGCACCATTAAAAAAAAAGCCGGCCGAGTCGAGCCGAGTGAAGTGGTTCGGTTCTATCCAATACAGTAGTCAGTCTCTCCTCTCGGCTTTGTGATTTGGTTGTTGCGTTCTGGGCTGCTTCTGCTGCCTCCCATTCTCTTCAGCCCTCCGATCGTACCTCCTCCTCCTCCTCCTCCTCTCTCTCTCTCTCTCTCTCTCTCTCTCTCTCTCTCTCTCTCTCTCTTTACTTTTAGAGAGATAATTCATTTCCCTCTCGTGGTGTCTTCGCTCTTTATAATAAAATCAATCAATTATCTTTATTTTGTTGTTTCCATCTAAACCCCCCAACCCCAACCCCACAAGAATGGCTCACGCGTTTTTCCAGACGGCTCAAATCATGCCCATGAACTCCTACGTCGCCCCAAAGCCCATCCCCAAACTCCACCACAGGCGCCGAGGTTCCGTTATGATGACATCATCATCATCGTCCCCCGCCGAGGTAGACAGTGACGCTGCTGCCTCTCTTTTGCAGCGATGTTTTGCAGCTCCACCGGCTCCTTCCTCTTCTACCTTCGCTCCCTCTATGAAGGGCCAATACGGTTCGCTTTCCTCCGTTACATTGGAGAAATCGAAGCTTGATTTAACGCAAAAGCAAACTATGTCTAGCCCTGAGGTTTGTTCTCTTTCTTTTTTGACCTAATTCATCTTGTGTTTACCCTTCAATTAAGGCACAATAGAAAGTGAACGAGTTAATACTTCTTCACTGTACAATTAGCAGAACATGTATTTGAGTTATCGGGTGGACAATTAATTTGAAACCAATAACGGCTTCAGAAAATAACCTAGAGTGGAAAGAGCTTCTGGGGGAACATAGTGATAGTGATAGTGAACAATGAAAATGAGAATTGATATGGAAATTTCAGTCTTACTTTCACCGAATTGCTTGTTACCAATACTTGTTTTGGGGTTAATGAAAAATTGAACTAGGTACAATTATATTTATTTTGTCTTTCTCTTTCACGTGCTTCATCTTCCTAATAGGGTTTCATATCATTCTCATTGCTGCTGATGAAAAAAGTGTGCTTGAAGAACTCAGTTATGGTAGCTTGCTGAGTGAGTCTGAAATGAGATTGGATTGAATATTTTTAATTCAATACTTCTACTTCAGTTGTTTGTATGAAGGGTTACATAGGAGAAATATCAAGACCGGATCGATCGGTCTCCACTTGTACTTTTGCTTTCCTTTTTTGCAATGTATTCATTTTTTAGGGTGGGCCTTGGAACAGCGGTAAGGTTGCTCCTTGTGATTGGAAGGTCACGGGTTCGAGTATGGGAAACAACCTCTTTGGAAAAGTGAAAAGATAAGACTGTATACAATTGACCATTACCCTTATCCTAGTAAGTCGGGGAGCCTTGTGCATCGAGGCTTGCCTTTTCCCCTTTATGTTGCTGCTAGAATTACATGGTATGGCTTAGCAACTATCCTAATTAATTATTTACTCCCATTCATTATAAATGGAATCAATTATTCTTCTAGCAAGAATTATATTGGAGGAGGTTGGGCTTGGCTTGCCAAAAATAAAAGGTTTGTAGTTTGCATGAAACGTATGTATGTCTTGGGTGGCTTTGATTTCGTGAATTCAGTTTTTTTGTTTTTGTTAGCAAGTTAGTATCTGCAAAATTCATTTATACTCTTTTATTGGCAGCTAGACGTTGGGGGAGGTGGTGGAGGTATTGGAAAGAAAATCAATCATGGTGGTGGTGATGGAGGCGATGATGATGGCGATGATGATGATTACTTTGATGACTTTGATGACGGTGATGAGGGAGATGAGGGTGGCTTGTTTAGGAGACGGATACTTCTTGAAGAGGTTAGAAATCTCATTTATTTCATTTATGAGTAGGTTTTTTCCCCTTTGTAAAACATTTACAACCTTTTATTGCTTTCATTTGACATCTCCTAAAGGAATGACATTCATTTGTCATTGTTGCAGCTATTTGACCGCAAATTTGTGGATGCTGTGTTAAATGAATGGCAAAGGACTATGATGGATTTGCCTGCTGGGTTTCGGCAAGCTTGTGAAATGGTGCAGTGCTTTTCAGATTATGTTTATGTGTTTAGGCTGTGAAGCATAGAGCCATATACTAACTAAAATTTTCTTTTAGGGGTTGGTTAGCTCAGCTCAAATGGTAAAATTCCTGGCAATCAATGCCAGGCCAACCACTAGCAGATTTATTTCTAGAGCACTACCACAAGCAGTATCAAGGGCTTTCATTGGCAGGTAATTTCAATTATGGCCTGGTTGACTTCAAATATTTTATTGAAATATCAGAAAGTGTGCACTCTACATTATTATGTTATTTTAATATCTCAAAATTTAAGCCCATATTCTTGCTTCTGAATTGTTAATTTCCATTTTTGGTTTGAATACCTTTATTTTCAAGAAGCTACAAAATAGAGGAGCATGGTCCTCTCAGGAAAAAATCCTCAAGGGTAGGAACCAAAGCTCCTTATGTTCTTTGCTCTCCCTGAGAGTATATGAGGGCTATATCTTTTGCTTACATGGATGAGTACACATGATCTGTTGGACATCTAATTGTTTTAGTCAGGTGTCTTAAACACTTGAGAACATGGAATAGATGTCCCCCCATGTTTGATAAGACTTGTAAATTAGTTTGTCTTCAAATCTTCAATATATTGAAATTTATGGAATGGAAATAAATTATATTTTCTAATCTGTTGATCTTTCTTTTTGGAGTGTATGATTGTATAAACTATTATCTCATGTATAAATCTTTTATTGCACAGGTTGCTTGCAGATCCTGCATTCATGTATAGGTTTCTATTAGAGGAGGTTGCTACCATAGGTTGCTCAGTGTGGTGGGAGATTAAAAATCGGAAGGATAGGTGTGTTGTGTATTTTGAAATGATTTGAATGTTTGTCTGGTGTTCTCATTGATGAATTGAAGTAATAATTTTTAACTTTGATTTGAATCCAGGATAAAGCAGGAGTGGGACCTTGCACTTATCAATGTGCTCACAGCAGCAGCATGCAATGCAGTAGTTGTTTGGTCCCTTGCTCCTTGTCGATCATATGGAAACACATTTCAATTTGATTTACAAAATACATTGCAGAAGCTTCCAAACAACATATTTGAAAAGAGCTATCCGCTAAGGGAATTTGACTTGCAAAAGAGAATCCAATGCTTTTTGTTCAAGGCTGCTGAGTTGTGCATGGTTGGTTTAAGTGCTGGTGCGGTGCAGGGTGCATTGTCAAACTCTTTGGCTAGGAAAAAGGAGGGACGGTATGCAGGGTTAAAACCCAACTTATGTTCAATAGCTTTCAATTTATTTAATTCTTAATGCCTAGAGTTTTACGGGTGATTGGTGAAATTATGAGTACTAAATACTAATTTTGTTCGTTACCTTTGTCATGCCCGAATTGTCTGCAGATTATCTGTGACAGTCCCAAGTGTTAGCAGCAACGCACTTGGTTATGGTGCTTTTCTTGGAATGTATGCTAACCTGAGATATCAACTGTTATGTGGATTTGATAGAGCAATGATTAGCTATTTTGATGTCATTGGAGTCGCGTTGTTCTTCAGCACAGCATTCAGGTCTGCCTTTTCCCCCTACCAAATGAGCTTATCAAACTGAAACCAGCCTAGGAGTTATGTGGTTGTGTTTTTGCCAGTTATTCATGACTCTGACTTTTCCTCCTTTGTTTAATTATTGAATTTGGCATATGGTGTCACGGCAATCTCACATTCTTAGCATTTATGATTATATTATTATTTGCTCAATTATATTCTCTTTTTTATAACGTGTGGCTTTCATCATTTTGAAAGGAAACAATGCTATTAGAAAAAAAATTCTTGTGATGTTTTAGCGTCATTTCTGACTTTTTTCAAACACTAGTGTTGAATCCTTTTCACCACTTCATTTTAGCAAATATTACCAATGATTTTATATGATAGAGGAAGAAAGTATTCTGGAATTGATGTGCTATTTTTTGAGCTTTCATTCTGAATTTTATACAGGGTCTTGAACGTTCAATTAGGAGAAACTTCCAAGCGTACCTGGCTTGGAGTTGAGGCAGATCCATTGGCTAACTCAGATGACCTCTTGAGAGTTTACAACAGGACTTCTGAGAATGTAGAAAAGCCATCCTCAAAATGGTTTATATCAAAGAATGCAATTGTTTCCGGGCTTGGGCTACTGGGCATCAAACAAGGGAATGCAGACTCTGTGGCTGGTTCAGAATCTTCAGCTCCTAAAGCTCGCCGAAAAAGGATTGTTCGGAAGAAGGTTGCTGCAGGTTCAGTGTAGTTTCTTCTCATGTAAACGTAGTCCTTGTCCAATTTTGCTGTTTGCTACTGCTGGAGTGTCCTTGGTGGTTTCTGGCTGCTCCACTTAATCCTCGGGGGTAACTAGTGGCCCATGATTTTTTACCACATCAACCAAGTTTGAGGAGGGTTTTATTGTTTTTAAATTTTTTCAGGGATTCTTCAATCGAATTACCATATTTTGCTATCTGAATCTGTACTAAATTTTAATCTTTTAAATGAAGTAGAGCAAGTTTTGCCCCCCGTGGTCGAAACACACTGATCCATGTAACTTCAATCGATACTCGAAAATATAGTTCCTAAGCTCTTGTCTGAAGTCCAATGATCTTCTGTCAACGAGACTTCATGATTCAGACTGTGTTAGATCATGTAGTTTCACGAACTTTTGTTCTCAAGTCTCTTCCTAATCTTATTCGATTAAAAAATTTGTGAATCTTTTTACTCCAAAAAAAAAAAAAAAAATTGTGAATCTTGTCTATTTTTTTTTTTTTTTGCAGTGAAAACTGAAGTTGATACAGCAAGTAAACAGTTGATAAATGCATAAAAAAAGTTGATAAATTTATAAATATTTTTATCATGCTTGGTAATCCTAATTTTAATTGTAATGCGGGTTGTAGCAGTAGAAATTTAATGAAATGAAATTACATCAAAATAATAATAAAAACCATAAATGAAAGGGTCAGAGAAAGGTGAGAGAAGGTCATGGTTTGTACTTTGTTTTGTTGGTCCACTCAGGTTGAATCAAATTATCTTTCCCAATCCATCACCTCATTTGTGAAGTCTGAACTCTCTCTCTCTCTCTCTCTCTCTCTCTCACAGTCATCCTGATAGATAGAATGAATTTGACGGCTAACCCCATGATCTCCGGCCTCCAATACTGGCTAGTGTATCACCCAACCATCCTCAACTTCTCATGGAACCCTCCTCATACACCTGCTTCATCCCCACTCTTTCTCTCTCTCTCCATCCTCTCTTACCTCTCTCTCACTCTCCTCCTCTACCTCCTCCCTCTCCCACCCTTCTCTCCTCACTTCCTCAAACCCATCACCGCCTTCCACAACCTCACCCTCCTCATCCTCTCCCTCATCATGGCCCTCGGCTGCACCCTCACCTTCCTCACCCATACGCCTCACCTACACTGGATCATATGTTTCCCTACCCAAACCCCTCCCACTGGGCCTCTCTTCTTTTGGGTTTACATCTTCTACCTCTCCAAAATCCTTGAATTCCTCGACACCCTCTTCATCATCCTTTCCCGCTCCATCCAACGGCTCTCCTTCCTCCACGTGTACCACCACGCCACCGTTCTCCTCATGTGCTACCTCTGGCTCCATACCTCACAGTCCCTCTTCCCCATAGCGCTCGTCACCAACGCCTCCGTCCACGTCCTCATGTACGGTTACTACTTCCTCAGTGGACTGGGGATCCGACCCAGGTGGAAGCGGGTCGTCACCGATTGCCAGATTGTGCAGTTCCTGTTTAGCTTCGCGGTGTCGGGTCTCATGCTCTTCTACCACTTCTCCGGATCCGGGTCTGGATGCTCCGGCATACGGGGTTGGTGTTTCAATGCGGTTTTTAATGCATCTCTTTTGGCTCTCTTTGTTGATTTTCATCTCAAGAGTTATGCCAATAGGAAGAAGAAACACACTGTTAAGACAGATAAAGAGTCCTAACTGTTGTTATTTTTTTTTATTGCTATATCATATTTTTTAATAAGATGGAAGAAAATGATTTATTGAGATTGAATGACAAAGTGATAAAATTTAAGACAATATGATATGCTTAGCAATATCTTCCTTCTCTTATTATATCGATTGAGATTGCTATTTTTTTTCCCCTACTTTTGTTGTTGAACAATTATGTGACGATCAAACAAAACTTGATTACATGTTTGATACATTGTTTTTCTTTCTTTTTTCCTTACAATTCAAGCGAAGCAATTTTTATTTCTGAATCGACCTTTGAGTGTGTTACATCACTTCTACCATTTGAGAATCTAAATGCCACTTGATTCTCTTTTAACAGTTAACGAGGGTAGGTTTGTTTAGTAATTAATACTTGATTTTACTGCGATGCATACTTACAATCAAATTTAAACTTTTTATTCCCCTTACACATCATCTCTTTTCCATTTGAGATGATTTTATTTGAAGTGATAGAAGAAACATTTATATATATATATATATATATATATATGAGGCAGGATCCTTTGACACCGGTGTCAAAGGAAAAGTTTGACACCTCATCTGAGAGCTGTTAGATTAAAAAAAATCAATGGTGTCACATGCTTACAAATCAGAATTGTTGATTTTTTTTAATCTAACGGTTCTCAGATGAGGTGTCAAACTTTTTCTTTGACACCGGTGTCAAAAAAAAAGTTTGACACCTCATCTGAGAACCGTTAGATTAAAAAAAATCAATGGTGTCACATGTTTACAAATCAGAATCGTTGATTTTTTTTAATCTAACGGTTCTCAGATGAGGTGTCAAACTTTTTTTTTGACACCGGTGTCAAAGGATCCTGCCTCTATATATATATATATATATATATATATATATATATATTGTTTATGACTTTTATAATTTTCATTTAACATGAGAATTATAATTTTTCTACACACCTTTCGATTTTCGTGCTGACATGGGTCCTACATATAATTTTTTCTAACACATGAGTCCTATATGCTTTTTATCTCTGCAACATGAGATTTCAATTGTCCTTCAACATGAGAATTATAAAACTCATATTTTATATCAGTGTAAGTTACAATCTTAATTTTAGCCTTTTATTTCTCTTGTATATAATGACTCGAATTTATTAGTTATATGAAATATTATTAGATACAAGAGAATTAATGGTCAAGAATAAATATAAGAAGATTTCTTATTTTTATATGGTGTAAGTAGGGGTGACAAAACGTGTCAGCGTATTGCGTTTGTGTCATGCCAAGGTCTGACATGTGGGTTAAAATATCCAACTCGAACACGACCCATTTTTGTTCACGAGTCAAAAAGTGAAATCTTTGACACAACCAATCACAGGTTACATGGGTTGACCTGCAAAAAATTAAAAATAAAAGAGAAAAATTAAATAAAAATATGCAGGTTGACCTGTGACCCATAATGGGTTGTGTCACAATTTCAAAAAAAAATTATTTTTTTGGGCGGGTTGACACGTAGGTCATACAGGTCAACCCTAGACACACCACGACACTAATTCCTATCATTTATCCAAACACGTACATGATCCTTTTTTTTTTTTTTTTATAACAGTACATGATCCATTTTATCCCATGAGTCGACACAACTCTCATTTTGACGTGTTGAGTAACAGGTTGACTCGCGGATCATGACACATTTTGTCACCCTACGAGATAAGTTAAACTTTTAACTATAATCGCTGATTTTATTTATATCTAGAAGTTTTAATTTATTAATTATTTGAATAATAGGATATAAGTGAACCAAATGATTATGAGTTATGATGGTAAGATTTATTATTCTCACAATAATGTGAGCTGATGTTACACTATGTAGATAAAACCCAATTAGGGGTAAGAATCGCGCGTCGAACTCGTTGGTTAGGAAGGTTTTGGTTATAAATGTTATGATGAATTATTGTTAGTGTGAAAAAGTCAAGCTAGCCTAATTTAGACCAATGTTATTAAACTAGGATTGATTATCGACTTGGTTCGCATACTGAATCAACGAGTCATTAGTTCAATCAATGGGTCATTTATTGATTCGGTTAAATTAAATTCATGTAAAGATATTATGTAAAAATATGCAATAAATATATAAATAGAAGCAATGTAACAATCAAAAGTGATGCAGTTTATAAAGGGACATTTGATAGAGGAAAAAAAAAAAAGAGAGACAGAGAGCAAAGCTGGAATCCAAGGACGTTTCAGGTGATTATTTTGTTCTTCCTGTAAATGTCTTCCTCTACTTGGTTTGATGCTCTAACTTTAGAAATGAATGTCTTTGGCTCTGCACACTTATGATATATGTTTTATAACTTTTTATATAAAAACTAAAAATAATCTTTAAAATGATAAAAAAAATTCATAAATCAAAATTTTCATCGACAATGATAGATAAACCTGCAACATCCGAGATGATAATTAAATGGTACAGCAAAGATATTTAATAAGCAAGCATACCGACTATCTCTTACTGGGCGCGAGTCCTTTGGAGAGACGTGAACAACTAAAACACCATCAACGGTATCTATGTGGATCGATACGTACATTTCAATATCATTACTCATTAATACATAATTCTTGCTATTCTTATTTGGATGGTTTTTTTTGTAAAAAAAAAAAAATATATTGAAAAATATTTTTTAAAAAAATTAAAATTATTTTATATTTGGATATAATACCTAAAAAACACTTTTAGTAAAAAAAACTATTTAGATGTTAAAATTAAAAAGTTCTTAGATAAATATTATTTTCTATACTTTATACTTCCTTAGGCCCATTTGGATTACTTTTGAAAAATAATTTCTTATGACTTTTTTTTTAAAAGGGTTTTTTTTTTTTTTTTTAAATGAAATTATTTTGTATTTGGATGTAGCATAGACCCAGCTTCTTGTTGTTGCTTCACCAAAAAAAAAAAGGAGCTTGTTGCCTCTGCTACATATTGAGGAGAGTAAATGGACTTGAGAGAAAATAATTAAGATAAGTGAGGGGGCACATTACAACTTTATTTATCTCGTCACATTAATGAATATCTCTATAAAGAAAAAACATATCAAGTAGTGAAGGGAGCTTGTTGCCTCTGGTATTGGTACATTTATTGAGCAACTCTCCCTGGGTGAATTAATTGAAGCTCCATCCATATTCAGTGAAGGGAAGCCATATTGCCTCTGCTTTTGGTACATTTATTGAGCAACTTAAATAGAGTGTATGGACACTCTAGATGTTCTGAATTTCATGATACAGCTAGACTTGATGGGAGCTTAATGATTACTGTCTCATAGATACATACCTTCTGCTATTTTAATTTTTAAAATGCCACCATTCAGAAACAAATTGTTAAAGTGACGTTTTTCAAGACTCTTATCAGTACCCCGCGGGTCTTAGTTTGATATGGGAATGTATCATCTCATGTGTTATTTAACACGATCATATCACGTAAGAGAATCTTAATTATACAAAATTGAATCAACGATGATAAGGGAAGAGAAAAATATATATTAAAATAGGTAATTATAAAATCATTATCATTGATTCACCTTTGTATAGTTAGAATTCTTTCACATAACATGGTCATATATTAAATAATATATGAGAGGATTCACTCTCAGTTTTATAAGGACCCACTGTTTTTTATGGCAAGTCTCTATCCGCATGCATGTGGCAAATAGATAGTGTCTTTTTATGCAGTTAGGTTACTGTTTTGTCATGTATAATCTATACAAGGACCTTGTTGTCAAAAATAATGGGTATGAGCAAGTGACAAATGCAGACGATGTTCTTTTATGTAGTTGAGTTACTATTTTGTTACGTGTTGCCTGGATAAGGATCCAGGGAGACCCGTTGTTTTTGTTAACAAAGTCCTTATCCAGGCAAGACATGACAAACTGAATCTGCTGAAACTAATAACGAATCTGGCGGATATGACATTTTGATATTTTATTTCAAAATTGTGGCATTTTGACAATTAAAATACCAAAATATGACATTTTTAGTGGTTGTTTCCAAATACGAAAGTAGTTAGCAATACCATCAATGCTGGTCTAGCACTACTACTACTTGAAGCCCCAATGCCTTTTGAGATTTCCATTACAATTCATAAGTCAAAACTTAAAAAGCCCTTTTCTCATCCAATTACTTTGCACTGAAGATCCTCTCTCTCTCTTTCTCTGTTCACCTTCACTTGCACCACACTACTACAGTGGTGTTTGAGTTTCATAAAAAAAAATGAGTCTCATTTTCTCAACCTTGGAGTACTGGTTAGTGAACCATCCTACCATCCAAAACTTCTCATGGACACCAGGCAAAACCCTAGGCTCCTCTCCCCACTTTCTATGCATCACAATAATCTCCTACCTTTTCTCCACCTTCACTCTCCCCCACATGATATCTTTCCCATACAAAGCCCCAACCATCCTCAAACCAATCTCAGCCGTCCATAACATCTCCCTCTTGCTCCTATCCTTCATCATGGCCCTTGGTTGCCTCCTCTCCACCATCTCTCATGCACCTCACCTGCAGTGGGTCATGTGCTTCCCTCCCCATACCCAACCCACTGGGCCCCTCTTCTTCTGGGCTTACATCTTCTATCTCTCCAAGATCCTTGAATTCATTGACACCCTCCTCATCATATTCAGCAACTCCATCCAACGCCTCACGTTCCTCCACGTGTACCACCACTCCACCGTCGTGATCATGTGCTACATATGGTTACAGACCTCGCAGACGATGTTTCCGGTGATGCTTGTTTCCAACTCCTCCGTGCATGTGCTAATGTACGCCTACTACTTATCGTGCGCACTCGGGGTACGTCCCAAGTGGAAGAAGCTGGTGACGAACCTTCAGCTGACGCAGTTCTATTCGAGCTTCGTGTTTTTGGGTGTGATGTTGTATTACCACTTCGCAGGTTCGGGGTGCTCAGGGGTTTGGGGTTGGAGCTTCAATGTCGTTTTCTTCACTTCTCTTCTGTTTTTGTTCGTTGACTTTCACAAGAAGACTTATGATTCGTCGTCGTCAACTTCAAAGAAGACCGGTGTCGTCAACAACGT